GCGACTGATCTGCCTCACCCTGGAAGAGCGCAATGATGGGCCAACTTGGGCCAGTGAAGCAACATCCTCCACAACTAGACTGAAGAACAAAAAACGACAGCAACTTGTCTGTTCCCCTTCCCCCAATTCCCCAGCACTGTTCCCATCCCCCCAATTCCCCAATAAAAAAAATTAAAAAAAAATCTTAAAAAAAAAAAAAGAAAAAAAGCACTCTATTCAACTTAACCAGAAATCTACCACCTGTAAGAGTAAAAAAATGGACTCATACGTCATTTTCTCTCTATAGCATACTGTTGATTCTTCACTGTATACCTCAGTTAAAGTCAGTCATTTGTGTTTTTAATATAGGTAAAATTCTCAATATGAAACAAACTATGAAGTAATTGTTTACAGTCTTTGGCCAGTAATGAAGTATTAAATATATTTATTAAAAATTAATGGGACAATTTCCTACTTTAACTAAAAATTTAATTTCTAATACACTGCTTCCAACCAAAATTTCATGAAAGAAAAACCTAGTTTGAGAAATAGGCTTCTTTTCAACAAGTCATATAGATCAATATTGGTATATTTGCTAGAACACACAATTCCAGATGGTAGGATTTAGACTTTGTTTGCAATAGTGATTTGGCTACTTAATAACATCTATTCTCAAAACGAAGATATATTTATATATCTTCATCAATAAATGGACTTTTCAGAAAATAATATTGACAGTTATAATGCACAAGGATAAGCTTAAGAAATGAAAAAAGCAATGCTTGATCAATTCCAGAGTTATGTGATTATCAATCATCTCCTTGGCTTAGAATTTGGTTTTCAATATTTTGAATGACTATGAATGACTGAAATACTCCCTACATGTAACTAATATTTTAGGTGTTCTAGTTGATAATTAGCCTTTTATCTCTATTATTTAGTCTTATACTTGTTTTAATACCTCTTACTGATTGAAAATCTTCAGCTTAGTGCAATAAAAATGTATATTACTAGAGCAAAATATGATTTTAAAATGCCCTTTCCTAAAAATTTGCATTTTTCTCCATGCTACTGTTAGTGAAAATTTAGGTGATGAATTATCATCTTTAGCTAGACATTTTGGTACTGCAAATTAGGAGTATCTAGCTAATATGATATTAAATAGCCAATAGAACATAATCTATGTCATTCTATATTATATACATAAATATATAATTCATTAGTTTCCTGATGTTTCCATGAAACATATATAAAAGAACTAGTGTGCTCCCTTGATAAACAGCTTCTTTAGAAACAGAAAAAAAATAGGTGAAAAGTGACACATTTGAAATATAGTGAGCCTGCTATGTAATTGTTAAGACTGACTGTAAGTATAATTACTACTGAAGCTATCAAAAAAATTCCTACATCTGTCCCACATCTTGTTTCTAGTTTCAAAGCAGCAGATACTTGTTTGCTTCATGTTATTCATATTATCTTTAGTCTCTGTTATTAATAGCAATAGAAGTAGGGAACATTAGAAAGAGATATATTAAAAACTAGAGCTTAGCTCACCCAAGACTATATAACCTTCATTTCTAGCAAATTAACATAAGATAATTACTAACAAAGATACTATTCTTAGAGATGGACAATAATGTTCAACATAAAATGTTTCCATGATAACCTATTTTATATACAAAAATGTTACCAATTTTCCTGATAAATAATTAATATAACTAAAATATCCATGTTATATTATTGTAATCTGATTTCCAAGCCCTAAATAATTCAAGAGCCAAGCAAACAAGAAATGCCTTTACTAAATATTTTCCTTTCTACCATTATTCTTTGAAAATTCTAATAGCTAATTCATTTGATGAGGAGTTTCAATAGACTGCATACTACAGTTGCCAAATTCAGAGCTGAGATGGAGATTACAAAATCATCTAGAATATGAAAAGTTTCAAAGTATAAATATTAGTTTTCAACAGATAATCCAAAATGTCACAAAGAAACCAATTAAAGACTTCAGAAGTGGCAATACAATTTCACAAAAATATTACCACATTGTAAAATGTGTGCATGGGTAGACAATTCTTTCCACTACCCCTATAAAACAGCTTTAGATAAAATACTTAAAATACCTATTATGAAGCATGCAGAGGATATTTTATTAAACAAGCCCTCCACCTTTAAAGAGAGCCACAAATTACAACTCATAAAATCACAGCTTTAAGTATGGCCTCTTAACTCAATTTTCTTAACTATGAAATCATAGTACTTAAATTCAGTAAAGAATAATTTTACATAGTAAAACTGCAATACTTGAAGTTCTACAAGACAAAATTGCACAACACAGCTTTATTTTTATAGGGGTTTTTTTGCACAAAATCACATAGACTGTCAAGAGCATAAATATTAAGCTGTGTAATAAAATCCACATTTGCAGACTGAGGGCTGGTGCCCTTTCCTCTGATTCTTCTCCATCTTTCCAGGCTCTATCATAGTAGACAATATTTATATCAAAAAACTTTTCAAGTAAAAACCTCAGAGTTATTTCATACTTCAAATATCCATTTTATCATCAAATCCTATTGCTCCGTTACCACTTCTCCCAAATCTGCAACCCCCTCTTCATTCCTTCAGCTACATTCTTGTTCCTGACCCTAGGCTTTTCCCCCTAACTGTACCTCATTCTCATGAGACAGCTTCTCCAGATTAGATTATCTTTAATTTCACTGGTAAGGTTCTCTTCTCTCCTTGACATTTTGCCTGTGCCACCTACCTATCCCACCTGGGCTTTTCAAGTCCTTTGCATTACATTTTTCTTCTGCTCAAGAGCCTCATGCTCACCAACATTTTCACTTATAAGGTTGCCACTAACTTTCAACTCTCCTTTAAAAAATCAGTTTCTTCTTACCTCTAGTAAATGAACTAAATTCTGCGTTCTGGTAATCACATTTGCTCCTAATCCACGTGAATATGAAATTCCTTTTACATTTAACCCTCAAAAGCACTGGTAATTTATTTAGACAATTTTAGCAAAATAATTACATACACTGTTTGTTTAGTTGTTTGCGTATCAATGTTATCCCTATTGAACTGTATTTTTACAGATAAGGACTGCATCTTTCAAAGCATTCTGTACACCTATCTACTATGTCACTTGACCCAAGAAGGATTCCCTAAATAAAACTATTAGGGAAAGCTTAAATAATCAAAAAATGGTTTTGTTTTTTTTAATTTCTATTTTAACTTTGCAACATCTATGACCTTTCATTTCCGTGGACAGCTGACATACTTTGCTTTTCATTAAGCTTCGCTCTTACTACTCTATAAATTTTCAAAAAATGGCTACAATTTAAAGTGCAAGTTGAGGGCTGATATAGGGTATATTCTTTTTACACCCTGCGATTAGATTATTTGAAAATCATCAATGTCAATTCAAACAATTCTGAGATACAACTGAATATTTGCACAAGACAACAGTTTCAGAACCAAAAAAGAACGGCACATCTTCTGATTTGGGGGGATTCCCTTTCAGGCAACTGGTTTAGACTAGTTTCTCTATCTATGGGGCTTTGGATTAGGAAAACTCAATAAATCACATAAATTAACATCTGGAAAGAATACCAAGGAAAGGCAACCAGTTTACTTAAAAGAGTGGAAGGAGTGTCATGGGTATCTCCTTTTCATAAAACTCAGCAGCCACATTAAGCCTTGCACTCAGTATCTACCAGCAGAGAATTTTTTGTACCTAATAAAAGCAAGTCTCATTCAATTTAGTCCCTTCTCGAGCACCGTCTCAACCTGTCAGAATTTGACAAGGGGGAAAAAAACTAAAAAGAATGGGTTGGGGGTAAGGAGACACTAGAATTCCCGTTTACATCGTTTCTTTTTCCGAAATCACAACAGTATGCCTTGGATTTCCTTCACTCCGAACTACACGCTCAGATTCCAAATATAGTTCTTTAACCCCCGCCTCGCCACTCTATTACACAGAAGCTTTGCCAACTACAGAAACACAGCAGAAACCCCTACAAATCTGCTTGCTATTCATCTCGGAAGTCATGCCCTGCAGCAACTGCCTATCGCCGAACTGAGGGATATTACCCAAATACAACGCAACGGCATCAGACGTGCCGGGCACACAGGGCTTCCGAGAGAGAGAGAGAGAGAGAGAGAGAGGGAAACGCGACCCGGGAAAAGTGCACTCCTCAACAGCCTTGGGACCATCCGGAAGGGGGATTCCTAGAAAGGAGGAGGACAGAGGAGCCCAAGTGGGGGAATCCTTCCCTCTCAAGTGAAAAGGGCTGGATCCCCAGCCGCAGGCTGCAGCCTGTCCCTCAAAGGAAACGAAGAGGCGGGCAGAGAGGGCCCTAAGCTCGGGAAGGAGGAATTGCAGGCACTTTCCGAGGTCCGGGTGCAAGCCGATTCCCCGCCTCCCCGGGGAGACAAGGGGTGTCCCATGGGTAACTGAGGAGATGCCAGTTACATCTGCTGAGGGGCAACCTGAGGTGGAGCAGAGATCCGCCTGATGAACACCCAAGTCTTGACCGGCCCGTGTCCCGGGCAAGCACCGCAAGAACAGCGCGGGGCTGTTCGAGTGGGGGAGGGTGAGGGGTGGGAGAGAATGGGATTCCCCCCTCTCATAGACGAGCATCAGCGGAGGAAGCGCGCGGGCCAGCCCAGAGAGGCGTGCTTCAGGCTGCGGAGCCGGGATCCCGGCGCCTGCACCGGCAGCACGGAGCCCCGCAGCGCCCGCCGCACCGGCCCCTCGGTCCCCGGGGGCCAGGGACTTCGGCTGCTAAGGCGCTGGGGCCTGACATCCCACGGGGCCGGCTCCGGCTCTGGGGACACCCGCGGGAACACCCCAACCTCCCGCAGCTCCCAGCGGTTGTAAAACGCCCCCCCCTTCCCGTCCCCCTCCTCACTCTTCCCTCCTCCCGAGGCCGCAGAGAAGGGTCACCACAGGCAAGAAGCCAGAGGCAAGTCAGGGACAGCGGCGGCGGCGGTCCCGGATCTCCTCCCCCGGTTACCTGTAAGGACTCCGACACGGATTTGATGATCGTGGTTAGTGAGGATCATTCCCTCGGTCGCCATGTTTCCCAGCGCAGTCACCGCACTGACAGGAGCCGGGAGAAGCCGGAGCTCAGAGCGCGCCGGCCGGGAGCGCGCTCGCCTTGGAGAGCGCGAGAGCGGGAGCGCGAGGTGAGCGGGGAAGGAGGGGGAGGCAGCCTTGGGCCCAGCGGCCTGCGCCGGGGAGAGGCCGGGCCGGGAGCGCGCGAGTCCGCGGGAGGGGCGGAGTCAGGGCGCGCGACCCCGAGTCCAGGTCGGAGGCTGTGAGCTGCGGGTGGGAGACGCGGCGGCCGCGGGAGGAGAACGGCCGGAGGCGTTGGTGCGAGGCGGGAGAGACCCAGGCCGCTCTGCGGAGCACGAGACCCAGGGCGGCTGGATGGCAGCAGAGTGAGGGAGAAAGACAGCACAAGCTAAGAAGGTTGCGGGGGCGGACTCGGGGACAGGGCGGAGCCACACCGCAAGGCGGGGAACTTGTGGAGAGTGAGGGGAGGAGTGAGCTCGGTTGCGGAGTCCTGGGAGCGGGAAGGAGCCGGCCCAGCCCGAGGAGGAACCGGGAACGCTCCGGGACGCGCGAGTAGCGCCGGATTGGCTGGGAGAACGCGGAGCGGGTGCGCGCGAGACACGAACGCAGTCTCAGCGGGACGCCAGACAGAAGCAATCTCCTGCCGAGCTGGGCGCCTCTTCGTTTGTCAGCACCTCTGGCCGGCTCTCGGGGCCACGGAGCCACTCGCCGGAGAGGATGAGGAAAGGGCTTAGCACGCGGGGCCACTCCTGGAATCCACCGCGAAGTGCCGGCCGACCCCCTAAACGCGCCAGGGAACCTGGAGTTAGCTTAGAAAGTTGCATGGGTGGCAGAACGGAGAGTCCGCCGTGGGCGAAGGAGGTATATCCAGTCTTGCCTCATCTTCCCGCTTGCTTCCATGGTCGGCTTGCCCTGCTGGAGGATTTCCGCCTCTCCTGTGCTTTAGGATCCACTCTCCTAGTCTACATGACAGTCCTCAACGAGCATAGGAGCCTGCAGCAGAGTATCTTGAGTGTAGATATCTGGCTACTCTTCCTGCCGCTGTCTTGTGGCTTTTTGTCTTCATCGCCACGATCTCTGCTTTTAAATGAAAAGCACCAATCTTAGAAAGTGGGAAGAACGTGTCCCACCTGAACCATGTCACAAAAGCGGAAATAGAATACAGGCTATGGCAATTGAGTTTCATTTCAGTGTGTGTGGAATATGAGATTACCATGAAAACAGCTTTTGTTACCACTTGTTTTCAGGTGTTTTTCATAAAATGTGTTATTAATCACCTGTGGCTATTTCACATCAGTTTCTTTTTTCCCTTCTTTCAACTTAACGAATAAAAAAGTTACATACACACATGTATATATTTTTCCCTCCGGTTCTCAGCCATGGTAAGACCTGGGAAGCATAAAAATGAAAAGCGAAGTGTCAAAAATGTATAATCATCAACGTTTGTACACAATTAAAATCTCAGTCAATGTGATGGTTATGAGTTTTTTATTGTTCCAGTTGGGAAGATGGACTTATATTCTAACTGAAGATTTACATTGTTATGTATTTCATTTTAAATGATGGGATTACAAAGGAGATGATGGATAGAACTGAGGTGAGATAAAATGAATTAGTAAAATTTCTTTTGAGTATGTTTATTGCTGGTATTTTTGACAGTGGATTAAAACTTGAAGCCAAATCATGAACCCACTTCCTATAATTATCACCGTAGAGCCTCGTGGCCAAAGAATTCTTAACTAGTTTCAAATGAGAGATATATATGGGAAAGTGTGCCCACCGCGTTTCTTTTCTCAAACTAAAGATGAAAACAAATAGTTGTTACATTGTTACTTTTGTAACCCATCTGTATTGTCTACAGCACCCTCAAATTTGAAATAATGAAATGTCTTGAATTTTTAGAGAGAAATTCTAAACCTGCCCACTAATAGGTCTTGTTACCTTAAATTTAAATTTGGGCCTTTTTCTTCATCTTTTACATAAGATGATAGACTAAATAGTCACCTTTTAAGTGATAGACTAAGCACCATTTCAATTTAGAAATTCTGTAATTATTCATGGACAGAATCTGGCACTTCATTTTACAAATAAAAAACAAAGGGACCTGTATAAAATTAGTAGTGGTGAACTTCATTAAAATTGAATTGGGAAGGGTAACTATGAATTAAGCTTCATAAGGTATATGGAGGTTTGTTTGCTGAAACTACTAAAATTGCTGGGAAAAGTATTAACAGAACTAATCTGGACAAAATGAATGCCTGTCTTCCAACAATTTTCCTCAAGTGTATTCATCTCTGTCGAATTTAGCAAGCTGTAACAAAATTTATACAGGAAAAGCCCAGTGACCTTACTGTCTAGTGTGACCTTTTACTGCTGGTTATTGAATGATTATGGCAATATGCACATGGTTTTTTACTCCTGTTATAGTGTGACATTTCTTCAAAATTTATCCTGGAATCAGGTGTTATAACAGAAAATGTTCTGGACGATAGGAAGACAGTAGCATTTCCAAATATTGACAAATGTCTCAGGAATATGGTGGGGCAGTGGAGAGCCAGAAATGAAAGAATTGAGAGTTTGTATGTAAAGAATGAGAAGCGCCCAGGGATTTATTCTCTCCATTCTAAGGTTTTAATAAAGAATACTACAGGAGTTTACATTAACTGAGGAGTTACATAAAAGGTAAACATCTGGCTTTCATAATGATTTTCATTATGAAGATTAAACTTGATTAGTAGAAATGAATTACTGAATAAAGGTGGTTTTTTCCAGTAATGGTGTATTTATAGTCTTCCTGGTACTTGCGTTTGCCTGTGGTTAATCACAATTTCAATATAAATAAGGCAAAAGCTTACTTTTTCTGTGGTCAGACTTTCCTCAACATTACATGTGAGCAAGGAGGACTTTGGTAATGGACTATTCTTCCTCTAAGGGTCATTTTACTCTTCCTTTTTCCTGTTTGGCTAAATGCCACAACTAAAACTGAGTCAATTAAAAGTGGGTGCAAGCAACATTTTGAATATAATACTTAATGCTACTAAATTGTACTCCTTAAAATGGTTTAAATGGTAAATTTTGTTATGTGTATTAGGCACAATTAAAAAAACAAAAACGGGGGCCGGCCGAGTGGCGCGATGGTTAAGAACTCGCTTAGGATGCCAGAGGGCCCCGGTTCGGATCCCACATATGGGGGCCAGTGACACTGCCCTCCACAGCTAAGATGCTGAACGACAGCTCAACCTGGAGCTGGGCTGCCATGAGTCGCCGGCGACGGCGTAGGCTGCAGTCCCTGTGGCAGTGGGTTGCCATGGGCTACCGTGTGTAGCCAGCAGCCAGCAGCCGCTGTGAGCGGCCGTCCAGAAGCCGGCGACTGATCTGCCTCGCCTGGGAAGAGCGCAATGATGGTGCCAACTTGGGCCAGTGAAGCAACGTCCTCCACAACTAGACTGAAGAAAAAAAACGACAGCAACTTGTCTGTTCCCCTTCCCCCAATTCCCCAGCACTGTTCCCATCCCCTCAATTCCCCAATAAAAATCTTTAAAACAAACAAACAAAAAAAACAACAACAAAAACGGATGCAAGGTGAAGCTCTGGTTGATTTTAACCTATAATTTCCCCCAAAGAGGCTTGATTATAGTCAAGATAAACTTTAAACTGGCTGAATAGGCAGTGTATTAGTTCCTAGGACTGCCATAACTTAGTACCACAAACTGGGTGACTTAAAACAACAAATTTAGGGCCAGCTGAGTGGCGCGATGGTTAAGAGCTGGCTTGGGATGCCAGTTCTGAGCAGCAGGGCCCCGGTTCAGATCCCACATGAGGGCCAGTGACACTGCCCTCTACAGCTAAAATGGTGAACAACAGCTTGACGAGCTGGGTTTCCATGAGTTGCCGGGGACGGCGTAGGCTGCAGTGAAGCTGCAGTGGGCTGCCATAAGCTACTGTGTGTGGCCGGCAGCCAGCGTAAGCGGTCGGCAGCCAATATGAGCTGCCGAGAACTGCTGTGAGCGGCCTTCCAACGGCCGGCAACCGATCTGCCTCACCTGGGAAGAGCACAATGATAATACCAACATGGACCAGTGAAGCCACGTCCTCCACAACTAGACTGAAGAACAAAAGGACAGCTACTTGTCTGTTCCCCTTCCCTCGATTCCCCAATAAAATCTTGAAAACAAACAAACAAACAAAAAATTTATTCTCTCATGTTTTGGAGGCCAGAAGTTTCAAATCAAGGTATTGGCAAAGCTATGCTTACTCTGAAGTCTCTGGGGAAAAATTCTTGTCTCTTTCTAGCTTCTGGGAGTTGCCAACAATCCACATTCCTTGGCTTGTAGCTGCATCACTGCAATATTGGCTTGGCTTCCGCCTTCTTTGTATTTTCACTTGCCCTTCTTACAAGGATACTAGTCATTGGATTTAGGGCCCAGTGATCCAGTAGGACCCCTGGATCTAATTACATCTACCAAGACCCTATGTCCAAATAGGTTACATTCTGAGGTTCTGAGACAGTGAAATTTGGGGGGACACTATTCACCCCTGTACAGGTAGTGCTAGATTACATTACTGTGAATATCCATGAAAACATAAACTAGAAATTCGGTCTATCAGAAATGAAGATTCAAAGGTTTCTTTAAAAGCTGAGATTTAGAAATTAGACGCATTCTTAGAGAAAATACAGTTCTATAGAATAGAGAATACTGGGAAAGTTTTTAATATTTGACCTAAGTAGCCTAATTCCCCCAGAAGTAGTTTTCTAAATTAGAATATTTCAAAGTCTGGTGAGATAAACGTATTCACTCCTACTAATGAAATTGACACTTTGCTTGTACTCCTATGCCCTTGTTGTCTTTTAGTGAAGTGAAGCTGAGCCATCTCAATTGCTCATGGACTTAAATGGCACTTTTTTGGGGAACTAGGACAATGTTTTCCAGTATCTTTCATGTAATAAATTTGAACTTTTCCTTGCACTTTTGATATTATGTTTGTTCTGCACAGATTGCTGCTTGAATAATTATTTTGTGTCCTGGTCCTTTGTGTTTTTTCCCACCTTTACTCTCTTCCTCTGAGGTCCCCATCTGGAAATCCAGATGTATGAGGATATTTTTGGTTGCAAGAGACTGATACTAGTTTAAACAAACAAACAAAAAATCATTTGCTCATGTAGTTAGGAAGTCCAGACATATGTATAGCTTTAGGGTTGGCTAGCTTCAGGGTCTGAAACCATAACATCAAGATAACCATCTTTCAACTATGCTAGTTCTTTGTTGACTTACGTCTTGCATTGGCTCTTTCTACGTGGTGGCAAAGATGGTACTGGCTTCTCGAGGCTGTAATTCAGATCAGTAGTTTTCGAGTCTGTCTGTGGCAACTGTAGACCCCAAGACCCTTTTAGAGGATCTGCAAGGTCAAAAAATTTTCATACTAATACTAAGGTATTATTTGTCTTTCCACTCTCATTTTCTCACTAGATACAGTGGA